GAAAAAAAAAAAGGAGGGGAGGGGATGCTTTTACTGCCAACAGCCACTTTCACCTTCTTCCCCACTCAGCAGAGCATTTTTGTGGGGAGGAAGAATCGTAAAATTCGTTCAGAGGGAAGAAATAAAGCAACCAAGCAGCCAACAATAAAAAACCCATTTCCTTACGGAAGGACAGCTTGATTTTAACGGCAAGGAGCATATGCTGCTCCCGTCAGCTTCAATAGCAGCTCCTCAGCATCTCTGAAAAAAGTCAGGCAGGGGATCGGCAGAGTTGTCAGTCCTCCCGGCTGCCGTGAGCAGGACCATCACCGCTGTGCCAGGCACACATCCCGCTCTGGAAGCCCCTCTCCAGAGTGGGAAATGACCACGTTTTGCGTCTCCTTCCTCAAACGTGAGTTAAAAACATGGACCAGCAGCCAGACTGCCAGGTGTGAGAGGACACCAACATTTTGTCTGAGCTTCCTAAGGAGGGAGAGGGGAAGGGCTGGCTTCATCCAGCTCCCACCAAACCCAACAAGAGGAACCCCAGTGGTTTCCAGATGTTCCTTTGGCCCCTGCAAGCCAGCACACAGGGCTGTTTCCTCGCACCCCCAGCGCAGCTGCTTCTGTCCCTTCTTGGCTCCCTCTCCCCTAAGCACTCCGATACCTCTGCAGATAAAAAGCAACACCAAAAAAAAAAAGTCCTTCACATTAATTAAACCATATTTTTTGAAAACAAAACCAAAACATCCTGCGCCGTCTTGCAGGAAAAAAAGGGATAGTATCTGGTATGGGAAAACATAGATCTGACGGGGAGGAAGGTCAACTGCATGCTCATCCTCAAGGAGCACTGGCCCCATCCGACAGCCCAAGTAGAGGTTTTGCTCCATTCTCAAATTCCTGCTCCACATCCCTCAGGAGAGGTCGCTCCTCTCGGGCAGTTTGGGATTAGCAGCCATCAGGAAGTTCAGAAACTGGCCCCAAGCAAAGGAAATAAAACAACCGGTAAGAGAGAGGCAGAGAGAAGTGATTTGCTTTAGGAAGTGAAAGCCTTTAAGTCTGCAGGTTTTTTCACAGACGTCTCCCAAGGTTTTGTCATATTAATCTTTTAATGGGTTTATGGTAATTGTATACATGGCAACATCAAGCAAGCAATCCTTCTGGTGGGGAGTGCTCTTGTGCAGGGGTAAAGCACTAACCGAGAAGATCAGATTCAAATCCCTGGCTCAGGCACAGCCCTGACCGGAGCTGGACCAGACGCTGCTCACGGCTGCAAAGCCCCGGAGAAGGGGGCTGGATGCACAGCAAGGGCCCTTAGGACACCGCAGCAATGTTTTCAACAGCCCAGTACTACAATAGTGGCAGCAACAGCACTGGGGAGAAGCAATTGCTGGGAAGGAAAAAGAAAAGACCTTGTGCTAACGCTGGGCTGTACAGGCGACTCAGGCAACGCAGGCTGCGTTTCCAGCTCTGCCACTGACTGCTTGCATGACCATGGGCAAATCACCAAGGACAGATTTTTCTCCCTTTAAGGTACTCTGGCATGCAAAAGAGCCCACAAACCAGGCTTCCAAAGCTCCCTCATCTTGCAACTACCAGCCCCAGCCTGCTGGCACAGCAGCAACTGCCCCATGTCACGACAGGGAGCACAGACACAGAACATCCTGGTAGCACTGGCACTGCCACTTCCCCTCTGTGGATGTGCATGGGCAAGGACGGGGCATAAGGCAGCATGCAGAAGCGAGGATGCGTGCTCCCCTCCAGACCACAGCCTCTTACCTGCTTCTTCTTCAGCTTGGAGATCTGCTGCTCCACCATGGTGATCTCACGATCCACGCGGTCCATGTTCTGTATGAGCTCCTCCTTCGACAGCCGGGCCGGCAGCAGGTCCAGCTCAGCGTCAGGGTGAGCAGGGCTCACAGGCGACACGGGCTCCAGTTTGCCAGGCAGGCCACGATCCTGGGGAGCACAAAACAACCAGGTCAGCTCCTTCCCAGGAGACTTTGGATCCTCCTCTCATCCTCCCACGCCAGCTGCCATAGCTTCCTGGCCCATTCCCAGCCCTCCGAGACACACACACCCCTCAAAAAACCTGCTAGGCTAAGCAGTACCAGCTGCCAGATCACATCACCGCAGGGCTCCGCAACCTCCAGCATCTCCAGAGAGCACCAACTTAGTCTTCTGTGGATGTGACAGCAGCTCTTCCTATACCAAAGCCTTGGAGGCTCCCACCACCTTCAATGCTACCCACATTCCTACAAGATCAATAAACCCATCCACATTCAGGAGCTCCCGGCAGCACCGCCACTTCACATCTCAGCAGCCAGCTCAAGGCTACATCTTCTCCACAAAAACGAGGTAGCCACAGACGTGTCCTCCTCTGATACAGCTATAGCCATGCTGGAGACAAGAGCGGCATTAACCATGCCAAACAAGAAGGGGCTATGAGGGCAGCCCCAGGGAGGAGAGAGGACCCCCACCTCCTTCATGGATGTCCTCCTCCATCTCTTGTTAAATTCTGGGGGGAGCTCTGAGCATCAGATGTCAAACACATCCATGCAGAAATTGAGAGAATGGGGATAGGCGAGGTCAGCTGAGATAAAAATAGACTGAACTGATGACAAACAGCTTTCTAAATTCCAGGTAAAGAAGCTCTCAGCTCAACAAGACCCTTCAAATTGAAGGCCGGACAGATCAGCATAACCTCCACAGACATCACAGGGAGCAGCTCTGATGACCACGAGCTGGGGGCAGAGGGAAAACACATCAAAACACTCGGCTCCTCCTCCAGCAAAGCAACGACTTCGCTGAGCCCAACGAACTGGTATCCCAAGAGCATCCCAGAGCCACGATGCCTCACCTGCGCACCACCCTTCACCTCTCCTGCTCAGGAGCCCATCTCCTGCAAACACAAGTTGCATGCCTGGATGAGGTCAACCCCCACTGATGAATACACATGGGATGAAGCAGCTGTTTAATAGCCATCGGCCACGCAGATGAGGATCATGGCACAACAGCAGCCTACCCTGACCCGGGATGCTCCTCTCTGGTAGCTACCCAACACCTTAATTAAAAGTTTGTTTATTCATTTGCTCAGTGAGTGGATGGATTTCTCTTCCTGGAAGGGGCAGGCAGAGGAGCTGCAGCTTGGTTTGTAACCATAAACCGCTGCCAGGCTGGGCAGCCCGCACGCTGGAGCTGCTGGGGAGGGGAGGGAAGGGGGGAGGTGAACAAGTGAAGAAGTTCACACAACTTTGCTACCTTCATTACAGCAGCCCTGTGCCCGCGTACAAAGCTGACATTCTTCTGCACCAACTGGTGCTGAGCATCCTCCCCTCCACGCTGACTCACGGCCACCGGCGAGCAGCCAGGGCTAGCCACTGACCCTCTTCCTGCGATGGTCCTCCTGTGGGGGCAAGGGTGATGGAGCTGAGTGGCACTGAGATGGCGTGGACCCCTCTGCGCTCCTCCGACTAGCAAGGCACATGGATGATGGCTCTGGGTTGTTCGCCAGCCGTGTTGCAGCTCACGTCAAACATGGCGAGCGTGCAGATGCCACCTTGGCACCGCTCAGCATCTCAACAGCATCTGCTTATGGGGAAGCAGAACCACACAGGGCAGCCTCCGCCCCGCTGCTGGTGGGGATGAAGCACGGTGAGGTCCCTCCTGGGGAGGCTGCACCCACAGCCCGGCACAGCCGCAGGGGATCTGGCTTCAAAGGCAGTCCCTGCCTGGTGGGGCTGTGCTGAGATGATCTCTGCCCTATTCCCCTCTGTAAAGGGATGGGCAACGTCATCCACAGCAAAGCTGGAACAAGGGGAGGCAAAAGAGGATGTTTCCCAACAAAGTGGCCATGTCCCAAGACACCAGCATCCTTCACTGGTGCCTTCCCTCCTGCTCTCTCCTGCTAAACCCTGTTCTAGCTGAAGGAGACATCAAGCCAGCCAGGGAGGATCCACTGCTGAGTGCAGCCTGGAGGCATCAACGCCTTTCCCACTGCTGCCATCAAGGGACAGAAAGCAAAGGAGCAACCTGAGACCTCTTCCTCGCTGTCCTGCGTGGGGCTCATCCAGCCTGAAGAGCACAGAGGCCCCAGAAAGCTAAGCTGGTTGTTCCCAGCACCCGTTCAGAAGAGAAACTAGAAGATCAAAGGTTTCTGGAAAATCCCAAAGAGCAGTTCCTGTCTTGTTTTACTTCCCCAGCATTAGACACCAAAATTGGTCAGTCTGCTGCAGTGGAAGGCTTTGCGTTCTCCCCAACTGGTTTTTTTTTCTTTTGTTGTTTTTTTGGTGGTTTTGGTTTTTTTTTTTCCAAGCCAGGAGGAGCACGACAACCACAAGAAGTAAAAGATAAATTACGTGTTCATAAAATTTCGTTCAGATAAAGGCATGGGAAGGCGAAGTGGCAGTGGCTTGTAGGTGGGTAGGTTTTCCTAAAGGAAAGCAAGCTACCTGCCAAAAATGCAGGAGAGAAAGACTTCTCTCTGTGCATGTGAAACAAAAGATACTATCTCACAGCTGTCAATATGCAAGACAGGGCATCTTTAAACTCCTACTTGGCACAAAACCCTTTGGAAACCTGGCTTCTGATACATTTTTATCTTTTTACCTTGCAGAATCTGAAGTAAAATAGCAGCAAAGCTGAGTAAGGGGAACAGCTGCAAGTCACAGCACAAACCCCATCATCTCCTCCTATTAGGAGATGATTACAGCAATAGAGAGAGGCAATGTCCCTGGACCTCGAATAACTGGTCACTGTCATTTCACAAGCACCTCTCTGAATCAGGGAAACGACAAGCAGCAAGAAGAAGGAAAAACCAAAACTGAAGGGAAAAAACAGATCTTGCCCATGCAGCAGTGAAGTCCAAAAAGCAGAGCTCCCAGATTTGTGCACGGCATGAAGAGGTCCTTCTTCTAAATCACAAAAATAGGTTGAAAAGAAGTTTGCAAAGCCCAGAGCCTGGGGTGGACTCTAATGGATGAGATATTTTAACTAGCGCTCTGTTTCATAGTACTCTCGAGAAGCCACTCAAAATATATTCCTCCGCTTCAGCTAGTATCATACCCCGGCTCTGAAAAAGTGCAGTGTGAAACGTGAAATTCTTCTTATTAACGTGAAGTCACAGCCTTTGAAACCAGCATGAGCTGGGAGAGCTGGAATAAATCTGCTTGAGGGAAGAAAACAATTACTGCATTACTCAAGTTGATATTTTCTCAGTAATTATACTGTTTCCATGTGATTTGTTTTTATACACGGCTAACAGCTACTGTAGTTCCTGTTTTCCCTGGCCTTATTATTATGCGATTTGTATGATAACAAGGGTGGGCGAGCCGGGGGCAGAGGCTGCATAAACCTTCCCGCAGCAAGAGGGGATGCTGGCACTGAAGAAAACAATTATCACCGAGGAGTCTATCAAAGAGCAAGGCCAGGCTTTGGGGGTGGGTTTCTTCTACACGCTTTTATTCCTAACATAGATAACGTTAATGGAGCAAGCCTGCTACACGCTATTAGGCCATGCCTTAAAAGACATGGGAGAAAGAGGAGAAAGGAAAAGGATCAGCCAACTGCCCATCGATGCCTTGGAGAGTAAGTAAGCCCCCGGGAAAATTCGACGTCCCTGCCTTCAGACACATTGGCACCCAGGTCCACAAGAGAAAAGATAGTGGGAACCCCAACCCTGGTCCCAGGACACGCTGGAACCTGCACCAGACCATCGCCTCCTCCTTATTTTCCATTACCAACCCACCTCGCAATGCTCCCGGGGAGCTCGCGGAGTTGGTAGGATGGAGAAAGGCATCTGTGCCATGTCTCAGCCCAGCGCCTATGGCTGGATGCAGCCCGGCCTCCATGAAGGGTGATTTTTCTCAGCTGCTTCCCGCCCTCCGGAGCCGGGAAAGCGCTAGCTCTGCTCCATCTGCACCTAACTCTCGCTGCAAAATGCATTTTGACGCTTCTGATCCCCTGACCACACTGGCTGCCTCTTCAAGACTACACCGGTGGAGCTTCAAAGCCTCCACACCCACAGTCAGTGCCTGCAGGGCACAAGCGCCTACCAAGTGAGCGGAGCCGCTTGCTTGGGACGACCCTCAGGATTTCTAGCACGGCACCACGGTGTTTGCCCTATATATCATCTTCGGTACGTCCTGGTCTCTCTCTGCCTTTCTAAACCAGATCATTAGCGATGTTCCCCCAAGCCCAGGACAGAGATTCAGGGATGCCGACGTCACCTGTTCCACAGTCTGTTCACTTTCTAATTATGGGCCGGCAGCAGCGTTTTCTGCTGCAGCACCGGGAGGGATTAAGAGGTGTTATCTCCAATTCCTGCCCACTCGCACATCTCACGTCCTCGCGGGCTGGAGAAGATTGCCAAAGCAATGAGCTGGGGCTGCTCAAATTGTGCTTAAATTCAATTCCCCCCCTAAAAAAAAAAAAAAAAAAAAAAACCAAAAACCAAAAACAAACGTGAACAAAGGGTGGGCTTGTGGTAAGACAGACACATGCGGAGCGGCCTGCCTGCGAGGATGCCTCCATCACCCAAGCCTTTCGTGGCAGCACAGAGCCAGTGAACGCTGCTGAACTCCACCAGCGCTCCCCAAACCCCGTCTGCGTGAGCCGTGCTACGCAGCAGAGCCAGCCACTCGGCCTCCCCATCCAGGAACCCACGGCTCAGCAGCATCGCACACCCCAGCGGACGCAGAGCCCCGGGGCTTTCCCACACACCCCAGCACGAAAACCAAGCAGGAGAGCCAACACCTCACATCTCCATCCATCCATCAAGTTTTACAGCAAAACCAGGCATATAAAAGCCTTAATTGGGCCAAATACAGACCAAAGGAATTATTTTTTTTTAACTGGAAAAGCGTCCAGCACATTCTGGCATATCAGCAGCCCCAAGAAGACAGCACTGATGGGGCAGGGGGAGAAGTCAAAAACTAATGTCTGAAAACCAACATCTCATT